TAAAAGAATATATTGCTGGGGAAGGTATGGATAAGAATTACACGTGGGCGGGAGATATCGAAATGTTAACAATGGCTGATTTACTGAATGTGTACATATACTCCTATAATGAAGAGGGGAATGCATGGGTACGTTATTCACCACTTACACGTAATGCTGATCCTAATTCACCAGCAATATACTTAACCCTTGTTAACATGAACCATTATCGTGTGGTTACATCAATAGCAGATAAAGAAATTGCTAATACTAATAACAGTGGTGATAAAAATACGTGTGATAAAAAAAAGGACAACAAAAAGAATGATGACAAAAAGAGTGATAATTAGTGAGACAGCATAATATTTATGGCCATAGCTTATAACAAATAATATTATGAGACAGTGTCATAATGGCCATAGCTTATAACAAATAATATTATGAGACAGTGTCATAATGGCCATAGCTTAAAGTGAATAATAATATTACACAGTGTCATGATGGCCATAGCTTAAATTGAATTATTAATGAGACAGTGTTGTATTGGCCATAGCTTTTAATGAATATTAATGAGACAGTGTCATATTGGCCATAGCTTATAATGAATGATATATGAGACACTGTGAAAGTGGCCATAACAATTTAATAAGACATGAATAAGACACGTAATATTGGCCATAATAATTAAAATACATAAATAATGAACTAGACACTGTCATTTTGGCCATTATAATCGATAACATAAAATGTGACTGTTGAGACACTGTATAAGATATCTAATGACAATGTTTATTGACACTGCTGTATGGCCATCTTTTCCCCTTCGGCACCAGCTTGACCTCATCGTGGTGAAGGGGTGGCAACAGTTAGGACACATTGTCCATACTGGCTAACAAAGCTGTGGGCAATATGTTTACTTCACACAGAGGTATGTCGAATAACTACAATTGAATTGCTTTACATTTTATACTGTTTTAGTTGCAGCACTGTTTAATATCAAACTGGAAGTGACTAGTTCTTTGTGGACAATATCAACAGTACAAGGAAGTTGATGTTAGGGTGGATCTTATTATGGTTCTTATTACTGATCCAATATCACTGACAGGTATATATATGTTCTGTATTGTAATTTACATGATTATGCTTTCTTTCCTATAGTACACCATGTATCAAAAGGAGAAACATTGCACAAGCACATAGGACAAGCAGAGCACTAAATATTATTATTTGTATATGTGACCATAATTGACAAAAGGGCCCTTATGGCAGATTTTAAAGTTGATTGTTACAATGAAAAACATCAACCTGTGAGTGCTTTGTTACACAATCATTGTTTTTAAAAGTTTCATGGTAACTTTTTGCATCCTGTTGAGTAATTTTATGATAAATGGGGCTCAGGAAGTTGGATTTCTTAGGCTAGAAAGACAAATTTCACTACCCGCCATAAGGTACCTTTTGTCAATTATGGTCACATATACTAAAGACATCATCTGTGATGCTCAATATTCCTTTTAATCTTGAAGAATGAATAATTATTATGCTACATCATTTTGGGGGTGTGGTTGCTGTTGTGTCTAGCTGCGCGCATGCGCATTATAGTTAGCCACTTTTTACCGCCAGAAAAAAAAACGTGTTGAAGATTTACAGTTGATACTGACTCAGAGATGGACAGTGAAGAGACAGAGACGATAGGATACACACTGGATGACCTTAAAAGGCTGATAGAAGAGAAGGAAGAGGGCGATGCGGATACCCTGGAGTCAGTGATGCCCAGACTGGTCCTGACTATGATGAAGACTCTTCAGGACCAGAGCAAGTTGGTCCAGCAAATCATAGATCAGCAGGCAGATAAAGCAAAGGACAAAGGGTCAGCTAGGGACAAAGGCCGGACTGCAAAGAAGTCAGCTGAGAAGCCGGTGGAGGAGAAGTCAGAGGAGAATTCCAGGCCGACTGAGAAGGATTCTGGCTCTAGTACCTCTGATCCAGCCAATACTGGGACTGGGAGAGGACGAGGAAGTGGAGGACGAGGAAGGGGCGGGGGAGGACGAGGAAGGGGCCGGGAGGACAATCCGGAAGAGGACACTACCAGAGCTCTTTCAGCAGAGGTCGGGGCCGGGCCTTTGTGTGCAATGAACATCGGGAACACAGATGCCACAGTCACTGCTGCAGGGATAACAGATACCACCCGTACTACTAACTAGTATTTCAAACGTATTTATTATTATTATTATTATTATTATTATTATTATTATTGGACTAAAAGCATCTTACGATTATTATTATTATTAACAATTACTATTCTTATTATTATTATTACTATTATTGTGTCATTAAAATTATTTGTTATTTAGCATTACAAAAAATTTCAGTAAACATATGATTTTGTAAAAAAACAGCTGAAATCTTCAAAACTCAATGATTACTTTGGAAGTGGAGCCACTCGATGCACTGAATAAAATAAAAAATAAGACAACAAACAAAAATACGAAAAAAATCCAACTGCCGTGATGCAAATTCTAAACAAACATTGTACTTTTATTGTAATAATTATGTAAGGAAATAAGTAACACCTTATAATGTAGAGTAGAATTTGCATCAAGAGAGTAGGATTTTGATTTAAATAAATTATTTAAAGAGGAGTGTCATTATATTGGCCAAAGCTTATAATGAGTGATGGCCATCTTTTTCCCCTTCGATACCAGCTTGACCTCATCGTGGTGAAGGGGTGACAACAGTTAGGACACATTGTCCTTACTGGCTATCAAAGCTGGCTTTATGTATATTGCATGGTTATAAATATATAATATTACAAAAAAATTAGCATAAACAAGCTATTACAAAAATTAAAAAAAA